CACACACAGAAGGCTAACTAACATTACTGCAAGTTTTTACAGTAAGCACTGAGTTTCATCAAAAGTTTTGTTTTGCATCTTTTTAAGTGGCCATGTGTTTTTTCTTTTAATAATTTTGGTGTGTGTGTGTGTGTGTGTGTGTGTGTGTGTGTGTGTGTGTTTGAATGAAACACCCTTGAATTTCTAGAAATGAATTTATATGGCCAAAATGTGTTATTCTTTTAATTTTTTGATCAATTCTGTTGGCTAATATTTTACTTAGGATTTTATTATCTATGTTCATGAATATATTGGTATGTAATTTTTTTTACTCTCCTTGCCTAATTTTATATCTCCTTGTCTAATTAATACACAAGGTTATATTTGTGGAGTTAGTTTTCCTATTATATGTTCTGGGCCACAATTATATAAGTTACAAAGACTGTTCATTTCTTAAAGGATAGGTAAAATTTTCCAATTATATAAATTTTGCCTGGGCCTCTCTTTATTTTTTATGGGTTTTGAAGAAAATATTTCAATTCTATTTTAATTTTTAAAGTTTTTTGGTTTATTTTTGTTTTCTAATTTTAGATTAATTTTAATAGTTTATAATTTTGTCCACTATATCTCATTTATATCCATGAATTACAAAGAAGAGGTAAGCAAAATTGGAGACCCAGGAGTATGGAATTAGACCTCTGATATTTTATCAGAAAAAGTAGTAAATAGCAAAAGGTACATGAAGGAATGAAAATTCTTCATGGAGGTTATAATTCCAGTAGCTGGCTTTATAGAAAATTCAACCAATTTGTTATAAATATGTTTTTCCATAGAGACACATCTATTCTTAAATATTTTAAAGGATATTGGTAGGAAATAAGATTTTCGTAGTCATCACTTTTGGGACAGTTGTTTTGCGTAAACTAGCAGTTCTCAAAATGTGGTTCATGGCCCCAGTGTCTCTAATCCTTCAGAAAATTCAGCTCACACTGGTTTCTTGGTAATACTAAGATGCTATTTGCACTTTTTATTTTACTGTGTTGACATTTTCATTAATAATACAAAAGCAATAATGAGTAAAACTTCTGGTCCCTTCACAGAATCATGACAGTGGTGACAAAGTCTATCAGTAGTCATTTGACTCTTCACACATGCAGTTAAAAAACGGTTTGTTGCCCTGGCCAGTGTGGTTCAGTTGGTTGGAGTGTCGTCCCATACACCCAAAGGTTGTGGGTTTTATTCCCAGTCAGAGCCCATACTTGGGTTGTGGGTTCCTTCTTCGGTTGGGTTGCACACGAGAGACAACTGATTGATGTTTCTCTCTCTCCCTCTCCCTTCCTTTTTCTCTAAATTCCTGTACCATATTCAACCTCTTCTTTTAATAAAAGTTCTCTGACAGAAGCCACTGCAGCTTTCCCGTAAATATATCACTATTGGGTAACTGATAGTTCTCCTTTCAATCTCAGTTATGTATAAGCTTAGGTTTATTTCTTCCCTTGAACTTCTCAGGTCCCTGAAAAAGGACTTCTATTTGGTTTGTCCCATTAGTTGGGAGACATACTGAACACTTGGTATGGGGATAAAACTTTTTTGTAAGTTGAGCTTTCTGCCAGACCTTGTTAATTTGATTACAACAAACATTGGTTGAGTGTCTTTTTTTTTTTGGTACCAGAGATACTATGTCTGATTGTAAGAATAGAGAGACAGTGATCGCCAACCGGTGGTCTGCGGACCATTGGTGGTCTGTGAGGTCCGAAAGGTGACCGCTGGAATAGAATATGGTGCTTTTTAGGAGCTCACAATTAAATCAGTAAGACACCAATACACACAGATAAGTGTGATACAGCATGACCAGTGCTTCTGTACAGGTGTCTTCAATTACTGTGGGAGTAATTTTTTTTTCTGGGGAGCATCTGTAAAAGAAAAATTTGAGCTAAGGTGGGTTCTGAAGATGTTAGCAGATACAGAACTGCTGCCTAGCAACCTGAAGGTCAGAGCTAGATTGGCTGCAACAGGGGCATGCTGTGCTCTCTCAGGCAGAGTTCCTTAAATCCTTCCTTTAAATGTGGTGAAGATCCATCTGTGTTTCTTCTCTTGTAGTCCTTATAGCTGTTGCATTGTAGTTCATTGTTTCTGTAGTGCATCTCTGTCCTCACCCTGACCACACTCTGGAATCACCTGGGATACTTCTTTAAAGTGCCCATTCCTAACTTCCTCCTCATCTCAAGAATAAGTCAAAATGTCTAGGGGTAGGGCCTAAGCATCACTATTTCTTAAAGCTTCCTAAGTGAGTCTAATGGGCTAGGGTAGAAACTATTGATGCTATAGCACAGCAAGCACTTCTGTGACAGAAAATACGGTTTATTCATCTTTGGGCCCCTGGAGTTGGACTTACTGTGGCATATGGTTAGCTCTTTGTAAATGTTCGCTGAATGAATGAAAAATGGAAGAGCTAACAAATGAGGAAATGTGGCTAGGAACAAGGCAGTAGACTCTTGTGGGTAGCTTAATAAATGAACATTTCCTTTCTTTATAATGAATAGTTAGCAGGCCAATTATTGAATAGACTGCATCTATTTTGGAATCCTTATTAGTGTGAAACTGTTTTTATAAATTGGTCTAAATCACAGCATTGCTATCAAATATCAGGTATAAAATAGACTATAAAATTGGTAGATCTGTTCTCTTAAGTTTATTTGTTTGACTACACATGCCACAAGATGTAGTACAGTTAACTGTTCCACTGAGTACAATATACAATCCCTTGAATTCAGCATAAGGGATTTTTGCCATCAATTTGATTAAAGTAAGTAAGTTTCAATTTTCACAAAATTAACCACAACTCAATAAATCTTATATTTAAAATGTAATGCTGTGGCTATTCAAAATGTCTTATTTACAGGAATATTTGTACTTCTTTGTTATGACTCTTTTAAAGCCCCTGGCCAGTGTGGTTCAGTTGGTTGGAGTGTCGTCCCATACACCCAAAGGTTGTGGGTTTTATTCCCAGTCAGAGCCCATACTTGGGTTGTGGGTTCCTTCTTCGGTTGGGTTGCACACGAGAGACAACTGATTGATGTTTCTCTCTCTCCCTCTCCCTTCCTTTTTCTCTAAATTCCTGTACCATATTCAACCTCTTCTTTTAATAAAAGTTCTCTGACAGAAGCCACTGCAGCTTTCCCGTAAATATATCACTATTGGGTAACTGATAGTTCTCCTTTCAATCTCAGTTATGTATAAGCTTAGGTTTATTTCTTCCCTTGAACTTCTCAGGTCCCTGAAAAAGGACTTCTATTTGGTTTGTCCCATTAGTTGGGAGACATACTGAACACTTGGTATGGGGATAAAACTTTTTTGTAAGTTGAGCTTTCTGCCAGACCTTGTTAATTTGATTACAACAAACATTGGTTGAGTGTCTTTTTTTTTTTGGTACCAGAGATACTATGTCTGATTGTAAGAATAGAGAGACAGTGATCGCCAACCGGTGGTCTGCGGACCATTGGTGGTCTGTGAGGTCCGAAAGGTGACCGCTGGAATAGAATATGGTGCTTTTTAGGAGCTCACAATTAAATCAGTAAGACACCAATACACACAGATAAGTGTGATACAGCATGACCAGTGCTTCTGTACAGGTGTCTTCAATTACTGTGGGAGTAATTTTTTTTTCTGGGGAGCATCTGTAAAAGAAAAATTTGAGCTAAGGTGGGTTCTGAAGATGTTAGCAGATACAGAACTGCTGCCTAGCAACCTGAAGGTCAGAGCTAGATTGGCTGCAACAGGGGCATGCTGTGCTCTCTCAGGCAGAGTTCCTTAAATCCTTCCTTTAAATGTGGTGAAGATCCATCTGTGTTTCTTCTCTTGTAGTCCTTATAGCTGTTGCATTGTAGTTCATTGTTTCTGTAGTGCATCTCTGTCCTCACCCTGACCACACTCTGGAATCACCTGGGATACTTCTTTAAAGTGCCCATTCCTAACTTCCTCCTCATCTCAAGAATAAGTCAAAATGTCTAGGGGTAGGGCCTAAGCATCACTATTTCTTAAAGCTTCCTAAGTGAGTCTAATGGGCTAGGGTAGAAACTATTGATGCTATAGCACAGCAAGCACTTCTGTGACAGAAAATACGGTTTATTCATCTTTGGGCCCCTGGAGTTGGACTTACTGTGGCATATGGTTAGCTCTTTGTAAATGTTCGCTGAATGAATGAAAAATGGAAGAGCTAACAAATGAGGAAATGTGGCTAGGAACAAGGCAGTAGACTCTTGTGGGTAGCTTAATAAATGAACATTTCCTTTCTTTATAATGAATAGTTAGCAGGCCAATTATTGAATAGACTGCATCTATTTTGGAATCCTTATTAGTGTGAAACTGTTTTTATAAATTGGTCTAAATCACAGCATTGCTATCAAATATCAGGTATAAAATAGACTATAAAATTGGTAGATCTGTTCTCTTAAGTTTATTTGTTTGACTACACATGCCACAAGATGTAGTACAGTTAACTGTTCCACTGAGTACAATATACAATCCCTTGAATTCAGCATAAGGGATTTTTGCCATCAATTTGATTAAAGTAAGTAAGTTTCAATTTTCACAAAATTAACCACAACTCAATAAATCTTATATTTAAAATGTAATGCTGTGGCTATTCAAAATGTCTTATTTACAGGAATATTTGTACTTCTTTGTTATGACTCTTTTAAAGCCACTGCAATAACTTATTTGACCTTCAACAGTTGCCTTTTACCACTTTTAGTAACAGATGGAAAGAAACTGTTCTGCAAAAATAAAGTCAGCTGGGAGTTACTAACACAGTGCATCATCATAATACTGAAACGGAATTTCCAATCCCAGACCTTGTTTACAGAGTGTTAGTAACCTAAACTCTGGTAACTAGTAGGTACCTCAATAAATAATAATTCCCTTCCTTCTGCTCCATATGTAGCTAATGCTGTACAAAGGGTTTAGAAAATCAAGTTTAATGTGACAGTTTAGCATTCTAACATTAATTTATTTCCCCACAGATGAAAAGAAGTAAAGAAGTGATAACTGAAAATCATAATCAAGAAGAAATAAATGTTCTTCGGTGTTGGAAATGTAGAAAATGTATAGCACGTTCTGGTTGTTTCATGAACTATCTTGAGAATCAAGTGACTAAGGTCAGTACCGCTAACTCTAGTTTTAGTTTCCTAGTTTAGGAATGGTGTGGCCACCCACACGGGCACACATTTCCCTCCACGCCCGACTTAGCTTTACCTACTAAAAACATTTCAAAGTGCTATTCAAAAGGCATCCCACCTTCCCCAGTTACTTAATTTTACCTTTAGCTGCTCACATTAACATGACCTTAAAGTTTCAAGTGTAATATCATAGACATAAGTTAAGGTAATAATAGTCCATATTTTTATCCCTACCAGGAGTGAATCTTACTCATCACCAAACAATTAAATTCAAGATCCTATTAAGAAATGGAAAACCTATTGTATTGTATTTTTTGAGGATTCACTATGAGCCTAGAAGAGAAAGTTCGTGTATAATCAAAAAGTCAATAGAAACACCTGAATAATATTCAAAAAGTGTTACCTGGTTGCCCTGATAAAAATAAATGTTTCTATATGGTTTTTTTAGTTGATTTTGAGAGAGAGAGAGAGAGAGAGAGAGAGAGAGAGAGAGATAGATATCAATTGGTTGCCTCCTGTATGCACCCCAACCAGAGATCAACCCGCAACCTGAGTATGTGCCCTAACCAGGAATCGGACCTGCAACTTTTTTGGTGTATAGGACAATGCAGCCACACTGGCCAGGGCTAAAAATAAATGTTTTTAATTCAACAAAAGTAAAATCCCTAAACTTCCCTAAGAGCAATATCTAAGAGGTGTAAAATAGACAGCAATCCATGGATCTTACAGGGAATTCTCACTTCAACAGAGAGAGTGGCTGTGGTCACCTATCATTGTTTTCTTTCTCTTCTTTGAGAGACACTTGGGCTTTGTGTGTTTTGCCTCAGCCACATTTGATCATGGTTATTTCCTTTTCACTCTAACATCGTCTCATTGTCTGAGGCTATTTGTGTTTTCTGTAAAATGTCTTTTTTTCTTGCCTGCTTTCCTATTAGGTAGTTTTGTTTTTATTTTTGGAAGTTCTTTATTCTAAATACTAATCCCTTGTTGTTTATTGTATTGGCAAATAGCTTTTGCCAGTTTATATAACTTATATTTCTCTCTTTATGGTCTTTTTGATGAATAGTTCATAACATAATATAGATGAATTTATTAATCATGCCCTTTATGTTTTTTACTTTTTGTTAAGAAATCCTTCTGTACCCAGAGGGGAAGATTTTTTTTTCGTTTCCATCTACTGAATACCAAATTTGAGATAGGCAGGTTTCTGGCTGTGCTGTCCTGAGCAACAGGTTTATGTTTCATTTACCCTGATGCTGACATTACAACCCAGCTTTATGTAGGGATTCCCCCTTTGGGTCTCCCTACCCTGAGCAAACCCTGGACTTCTTCTTCATATGTTCCATACCCTGTCAGATATGAAATGGCTCTCAGAACAGCATTGAGGATTAGAAAGCTGGGAAACAGCATCCATAGTTTTTGTCTCCAGGACCGTATTCCTTTATCCTGGCCCCGTGCCAGGAAATGGGAGTCTCACACTCTGCCTCTCAGCCCCCACAAAGCTAGGAACTGGGCACTGGAGTTACTGTAACTTTTGCTGCACAATAACCAAGTGCTTCCAAAAACAAGTTTGCCTGAAGTCAGCACAGATAGTCATTGCTTCTGCTTCTATAGTATTGAGCAGGTGCATCAGCTTGGTGGAAGCTAGGCCATGTGTGGAACTTGAGCTGAAAGGAAATCTGGGACATTTGAGCTTTAGTTTTCCAGCCACTTGCATGTAGTAAGGGAATTTAGAATGGAATTTCAAACAATCTACCATGTCTACAGGGAGAAAAGGGGGCTCCTACCACACCTTCAAGTCTGAAATGCATGAAATGTAGCAAGAACCAAACCAAAAGCAAAGTAACAATAAAAGATCTAAAAATTTCTCTATATAAAAGCCTAAGCGACCATTACAGCCGAACAACCGGAATGACCGGTCGACCAGTTGCTATGATGTGTACTGATTACCAGAGGGCAGACCCTCAATGCAGGATCTGCCCCCTGGTGGTCAGTGCACTCCCACAGCCAACCTTCCACAGCCAGCCAACCTCCTGTGGTCCCTCCCCCTAGTCCCCCTGTCTGGCAGGCCCCGGCAGCTGGCAGGCCCCAATTGGGACTGGGCAAGACAGCCCCGATAGGCCCTGATCGCCGGTCAGGCCTAGGGACCCCACCTGTGCACGAATTTCGTGCACCAGGCCTCTAGTATAAATATAAAATAACAGAAGTGATGTCCAGGGCCATGAGGAGAATGGTGTCCTCAATTTTAGTTTTTTAAACAGTTTCAATGTACTTTAGGACATGTCAAGTTTATGCGACCTACAAAACATTCAAATAGAGATTTGGGGGTTTCTGCTGGTTCTATGGGTATGGAATTTAAAATGGATCTGAACTATATGGGAGTCGTCACATATAAGAGGTGAGTGAAGCTTCAAGAGTAGATGAGAACACCATACAGAGTGAATGAAGTGAGAAAGAAGAGTTCTTAGGAATATTTAAAGAGTGGACAGAAAAAAGAAGTTCACAAAATAGGGAGGTGGGAATAGCAAGAAAGATAAGACTAGGAAGTAGGATACAGTGTTATGAAAATCAAGGGACAGATGTCTTCCAGAAGTAGGTATTGGTTAGTCATAGTGAACGTTGTGGGGAGATGTAGAAGATCAGACAGTGCCTTCAGGGAGCATGCTGTGCACTACACAGTTGTAGAGGATGCTAGTCAGTGAAAGGTGCCCCAGATTTGTGCAGAGTGTGGAGACCCTGAATGAGAACTAAAAGTGTGCAATAGTTGTAGCAAAGAGGAGATCATTGGTCAACGTTCATTGTAGTGTGAGAGCTGTAGGGGCAGATATCAAATTCCAGAGAGTGGAGGAAAATGGAAACTGGGAAATGGTCCAACACTAACTGTGAAGCATTATAATCATTTGGGTTATGACTCTTTCCATAACCAGGCTATGAAGTGTTTCATTCTTATGTTACCAATACAGTGATGGCCATAAGTATGATCGATGAATATTGAACTGATCATAGATTATATAGTTCCTCCACCTTTTTGGCTGGATATTTTTGCTCATTTTCTTCTGGCTTTATTATCCTGCTGGTATCTTTTCTTCAATGGCTATAGTATTGAAATAAATTCTATTTGTATTGCTTATTACGTTTTAAATATTTTATGTGCCCTTTTCTTAGTGTTAGCATATATTTATTCCATACGTAGTCTTATTACCTGCTAGGAACTAAATTGTGTCCTCCCTCTCGCCCCCAAATTCATGTATGGAAGTCCTAACCCCCAATATGACTGATTCTGAAGATGTCTTTGGGAGGTAATTCAGGCTAATGAGGTAATAAGAATGGGACCCCAATTTGAAAAGAGGCTATGGCCTCTTATCAAATGTCTTTGTGTCTCTATCTCTCGAACTTTCTCTATTCTCCCCTTCTCCCCACTCTCTTTCTCCATTACTCTATTCCTCCCACGTGAGGACACAGAGTCTGCAATCTTGAGAAGAGAGCTTTCACCAGAACCTGAACATGCTGGCACTTTGATCTCTGACTTCTAGCCTCCAGAAATGTGAGGAATGTATGTCTATTGCTTAAGCCACCCAGTCCATAGTATTTTGTAGGGCAAACCAAGCAGACTAAGACATGACAGGTCCTGTGATAGGCACTGGAACGTCAAAGAACAGAAGGGAGATATTCTGTCCTTGTGAAACTTTCAGGATAGGGATTGATCATACATATTAAATTTTAGGCCCTAACCGGTTTGGCTCAGTGGATAGAGCGTTGGCCTGCGGACTGAAGGGTCCCAGGTTCGATTCCGGTCAGGGGCATGTACCTTGGTTGTGGGCACATCTCCAGTAGGAGGTGTGCAGGAGGCAGCTGATCGATGTTTCTCTCTCATTGATGTTTCTAACTCTCTATCCCTCTCCCTTCCTCTCTGTAAAAAATCAATAAAATATATTTAAAAAAATTTTAGATGTTTAGGTGGCAAAAATGAAAAGTATAGAGAGCCGTAAGAATAGGATATAGACAGAGGGTTGGACCTACTTGTGTCGGGGAAGCTTTTCAGAGGAAGTGACTTGTGTGGAGAGAAGGTGGATGAGTAGCAAGGGCAGTCCAGAGGGAGAACATTCCAAGCTTTGGGATCAGCATGTGCAAAGGCCCTGTGTTGGAGAGAATGTGGTGTATCCTTGGAACTAGAAGATTCCCATGATTGGAGCTGAGAGATCCAGAGGGAGTTTGGCAAGATTTGAAGCTAGAAAGATGAGTATTGGTTAGATCATTTATGGTTTTGTACACTAAATTAAGGACTTTGATCTTTAAGAGCTGGGAAGACACTGAAAAGGAATGACATAACCATTAAATTTTAAAAAAGATAATTTTGGCTATTGTGTGACGAGTGAATTAGAAAGGCAGCAAGAATGGATTCGGGGAGACTGCCCTTAAGTGAGGCTCTCATTTTTTTTTCCCATTCATTCCCTTTCACCTTGAAGTACCTTCTTAAAGTATAAGTAGAAAAACCAGGCAGTCCAGCAGAATGTGGTTTCTTTACATTTGTAATATTTTAAACATTTAATTAGTAATGTTAATTAAATGACATTTTTGTTACCTGATCTTTTTCTGTAGTGTTTATAACTGCAGTAGTTAAATAATATATTTGGCTCACTTTTAATGAATTAGTAAGGGAATGTTATTGCTAACATGAGAAATATCGTGTTAAACATCTTTCAAAACATTATATAATAATATTAAATTCTTTGCATCAATATTTTACATTTAACATGTTCTGTTTAATTAAAAATCTTAAATATCATTAAATGATAAAGATGATAATGCATAAAATTTGTAATTTTAAAATTAGGTTCTCCTACACAGCCACTAAAAAGTCTCCACCCTTAACACAAAAATAGAAGTAACAGTGCATTAGCCCCACCTGCTGTCCGAACAAAAAATTTCATTTTCAAAATATTTTATCAACATTTTCCTGACAGCATTGTGTGAAATTG